ATAATTTAAAATAAATCATAATTAAACACTTTCTGATGTTAATTTCATGTTTTTATTTACAAATCAATAATAATAATAAGCAATTTTTAATACTTTTGACAGATATTGTGACGTATTTGATTGTAATTAAATATTTGATTACAATCAAGTCGGCCTTTAGAATCGGCCCTTAAGGATAAAATTCCAAACACTAATTCAAACAAAGCTGAAATTTAAGAATTTTTATTAAAACATGAAATATATTTTATGGAGTTTTACACAAAAAAAAAACAACTTATAGAACTATTAAAATTAGTTAAACGTGAAAAAAATTATGTTATCGACAGGCTAGCTGAGAATTATGGCCATAAAGTATCTCCTTACTATTCTGTACTTAATCCAATAGAATTGTTGCGGTCTCAAATAAAAATTAATGTGAGGAAAAATATTAATTCTATTATTCCTTTTCGACTGTTGTAGATTTAATTAAGACCGAATGTAATAATATTACAGCAGATAATTGGAAAAAATGTTTAGAGCATGTCAAAAAACTAGAAGAAAAATACTTACAGTTCCAAAACATTATAAATAGGGTAGGTATAGATTTAAACAGTGATACTCAACCTGCGGCCCGCGGGCCGCATGCGGCCCTCGGACTTTTTTTATGCGGTCCGAAGGCTATTTTTGTAATTCATTATAAAAATATTATTAAAAATTCCCTAATCAACAAAGTCTAATTTATAATATAAAAAGATCCGCCTCTGTGGTGTTCAACCGGGGATTTCCTGAAGTTGACGTTGTTATACTATGTTTGCATTTCATGTTGATTTGGAACCAGTTCAATTATTATATGAACATATCAATTTCATTTAGTGCTTCCGTTTACACACGTATCGTCTTTTTCAAATTTTGTCAAGTGTTTCTTTTACTTATAATAATTGTAATTATAATTGATTTGCCGGGAATTTAAAACAGTGACAATGGCTGGCGTGTCCTCAAAATCAAAACGTAAAATATCTGATGAAAACAGACTATTTCAAGATAATTGGGAAGATGAATATTTTGTTGTAACTAACAAACACGGTTTAGCCACTTGTATGATTTCTCGAGAGATTGTTATTTTAAAGAAGTATTATATTACGAGACAGTATAATACAAAACACAAGATGTTTAGCGATAGTTTCCCAGTCGGCTCTGCATTACGAAGAGAAAAACCATGCGTCTTGAAAAGGTCGTTACAGCAGCATCAAAATATAATGGCAGTTTCAATGTCACAAGATGTATCAGTGACGAGAGCGTCCTACGAAATTTGCTATTAGGAAAACATATGAAGCCATTTACTGACGCTGAGATTGTAAAGAAATGCTTTAAAAATGCTTCAAATATTTTACTTGAAAAGTTTAGCAATAAAACTCAGATAATATCACAAATCAGACAACTACAAGTCTCAGATTCCTCACGTCAGGCGAATTGAAGATATTTCGAAACATATTTTTAATTATATCATCGACGACTTGAAGAATTGTAAATACTGGAGTTTAGCATTTAATTCAAGCACTGATGTTTCATTAACTTCACAATGTTCTCTTGTTGTACGGTACTTTACTGAAGATTATGGAATTCGTGAAGATTTTCTCAAATTTCATCCAATGAAAGGTCATACCAAAGGAAGTAATTTCATTGATGTTATTTGTACGTTTTTGGAAAAAAATAGTATTGACGTTAAAAAGTTGGTATATGTATGCACAGATGGATGTCCGTCTATGACAGGAAATAATATTGGGTTTATGTCTCTTTTGAAAAAAAAAAATATGATATATAGTACATTGTTTACCGGGTAGGAAAAGCTTAACATTCCTGGACGACTGTGAAGATTGCTAAGTCGAGGCGCAAGCCGAGACTTAGCAACACAAAGTCCAGGAATGTGGCTTTTCCTACGAGGTAAACATACTATTTTTCCGCAAATCGTTTAAAATTCGACAGATATTAATTGATTTAAAAAAAACGCGATAATTTTATTTCCAAATAAATGGTGCTTTGAAATTCCTAATAAAATTACTTGGGTTACTAAGGAAACGTATATATATGAGGTTGAATTGTCAAACTTTCTATCATTTATGTAGAACACTAACAACTGTACGGAAATATCATTTCCTTACAGTAAGGTAATGACATTTCCTTACAGTAAGGAAGTCCTGACTTTTTCTTCAAGAAATTTTGATAGGAATGTCAAAATTTTCTGGCGATTTGCGGAAAAATAATTTGTTAATATTTCACTTATCCATACATCAAGAAAATCTCGCAGCACGTACCACAATACCGGAAGTTGACGACCTGATGAAAACTGTTATTAACATCGTTAATTTTATTAGAGCACGAGAACTTAACCATATAAAATTTAAATATTTATTAGAAGAATTAAAAAGTGAGCATGGCGATGTACTTTTACATACCGGAGTACGATGGCTGAGCAGAACAAAATTTCAGAACGGTTTTACTCTTTACTGTACGAAATAATATTGTTTCTACAACCAAATAATAAAACTTGTTAAGTGATGTAAGATCACATTATTGTATGTATTTGTAATGAAAAATCATACTAAATTTTCTCTTTGTTTTCACCTCTGCAGAGCCGTGCGGTATATCTTTTAATATGATGCAAGTCTTTGAAATACCGCCTCTTAAACATGATTGAATTTTATCTTTCATTTTTATTAAGAGGGTATGCGCAAAATCTTGATCCAATGCTATTTAAATGCATTTTTTCTGAAAACATTTTTACACAGCCTGACTTTTTTTATTTTAATGATTATGCCGCCCCCCTTGTGATGCCGCCTGATTCGACTGTCTCGCCGTATCATAGCACGGCACAGCCCTGCACCCCTGTAAGTTATTAAAATAAACATATATATATATATATATATATATATATATATATATATATATATATATATATAAATTTTCGTTTCGGTGGATTGGAATCAATAAAAGGGCTGTTCTAGAAGACTATTTTTTATATCTCAAGCTTTTAAATGTTATTACATATTATATATATATATATATATATATATATATATATATATATATATTAATAAAGTATTCAACTAGTGAATTCAGAGGTTTATTCGGTCAGTCAGGTTGGCAAAATAAAAAACAGAAGTCAACTACTTCATAAGTTTATCGAAGACGTTTCGCTTTATATTTCTAAAGCTTCATCAGTTCTCTAAAATACAAAGATGACATAGAGTTTATAAGAAATACAGATCTAATAGTTTATTACTTACGACTCAATATGTAGTATTAAAGATGTTATCGTATATGTACTTAAGTTTACTCATAAATTTAGAACTAACTTAAAAAAAAATTAAACAGAAATATGCAAAAAATAACATTCGCAGAAACGAAGATTTACAAAAACTTTAAACATTTGGCTTCATTTAGAGATGGTTCTCCAATGAAGACAAACAAAACACTGATTTATTGCAATCTACGCAAAAAGACGTGGCGCGATACCGAAAATGTTTTTCAAGGGCCATATGTTCAACAAATTCCAAGGTTTGAGACAATTATGAACTTCTACGGGGGTCATTGAAAGAATAGTTGGACGGGTGGATTTGTAACGGAAAAATTTGATATGATTTTTTTTTTGTAATTTATAATGTTTGTTTTTATAATTTTATGTGAAGTTATACGCCCTAGAAGTGAACGACTGGTTTGGCCAATGTAGCAGGAATTGCATTCAGAACAGGGGATTTGATAGACAACATTAGTGTGCTCTAACGAGCTTAGTGGAGTTTTGGACTTGGAGAATAACTTTCCAATAGTTTTCGTGTTTTTTAGGGATATTTTGACGGGTAAGTTTTTGAATAGTTTAGTAAGCTTGTTCGTAACTTGTGGGAAATATGGAAGAGAAGCATATTTTGTGGCTGGTTTCGGGGTTAGCGGGGAATTGTCAGTCTGTAAGCTATTGGATATGGAGGCTAGTATTGCACCGTTAGGTGCTTCAGAAATAGAGTGACCGTAGCTTTTAGAGAAAAGATATCTGTTGATGATGGATATGGGGTAAGAGTTATCAATGAGGATGGATTTGATGAGATGAGATACAAACTTATATATATATATATATATATATATATATATATATATATATATATATATATATATATTTATATATATGTATTGTATGTATGTATTTATACTAATTCACCTAGATTGCGGCCCGCAAGCTGTGGCAATAGCTACTATGCGGCCCAGGGAAAAAAAAGTTGAGTATCGCTGATTTAAACGATAGCGATGATAGCGACACCGATTTAAATGTAGACGATAATTAAGTTTAAAAATTTTTTTTGTAATTTTTTTACTATGTTAAATACCTATATATTCTAATTTAAAAGTATTGCTTATATGTATTATTCTTTTATTTTATGGGATTGCCGTAATTTTGATAAAATGTATCAATAAGTCCGACCCTGTAAGTCATACGGCCTATATACTAACCAAAAGGAAGAGTTTAGAAAAATTTCTTAGTGGTAAAAATATGTAAATACAAAAAAGAAGCGTCATCTCAAAACAGAGCAAAAATAATAATAGAAATAAAAATTGTAAGAAATTCAAAAAATCCCCATGTGTCCACGATATTATCTATCACACACAAACTTTGGAATAAAAATTAAAAAAAAAAACAATATGGTGGCAAATGAGTCCAAAGGCTGAAATAGGAAACAACTGATTTAAGGCGCATAAAGAAATAATGAAACATGCCTTGGTACCAGAGGGTATGAACAAAAACTATCTTAGGGTATAGACCTCAAACAATAAAGTAAGCCGAAACAAAAAAATAAAGAGAAGATTATGAATATACAGAAATAAGAAATTAAGCACTTTTACATAAATTCATTAAAAGTCTGTAGTTCTACTCAACAGACTCAGATCGTTTCATTATGAATAATCTTGTTAACTCTGACAGTAAAAAATTATAGGTATATCTAACAAAAAACAAAAATAATTACATGCAAATAAATTCAAATCTTACCTGAACTCGGTCGATCCGAATACCGCGTGCAGTAGACCCATGCAGGCCAGAGTGTCGGCACGTTTCCGTCTTCGTCTTTCTTGATCTCCTCGGGATTCGGCAGCGTTTTAACTGGACTCTTTGGCCTCGAGATTAGCTCCGGACTTTTTTTAATCAAACTTCCGATTTGCGAAACTGTCTGGCACAAACTACCTAAGGGAGCCACGAGGTCTTCTTTGGATTTTTCGCACTTTTCATATGGTTTAAAGATAACTTTTGGTGTTGTTTTTGTTTTGAGGACGGCTGATTTACCGAAGTCCGGTTTAAGAATATTGTTTATAGAATATTTTAGAGTTTGTATTGTAGGTTCGTTGTGCTCGGAAGATGATTTTGACGAAACACTTTCAGAAGGTGACGGAGATCGAAAGCTTCTTGGACTATTTCGTTCACATTCGCTTTTGGGGCTAGGAAGAGCGAAGGATGTTATCCTAAAAAAGGATCTTTCTGTTTCGGGTTTTTGGTAGTGGTTTGGCGACGATGTAGGAGTGGATATAAAACTTCTCGAATTTTCTTCATGGTTGATGGTCATGCAGGTGTAGCTAGATGTTCTGGTTGATTCCGGGGAATTGGGGGCGTTTGATCGTTCAGTGTTATTCGGACTAGCCGCAGCACTAGGGCTTGACCGGTCTTCAAGCGCCATCGGCAAGAAATTAAAATTCATCAAGATATCAAAAAAGTGTGGCACACACCAAAACACTTCAGCAGTCACACGATCTAATACTCACTGGTAAAGCTGTGCTGTCAAACTGAGTGAGATTTCAAAATAGTCATCTTTATCAGGGAGGCATGGCTTGACTCCGCCTACTAAGACATGCGCCACAAATTGCGATGGACTTCTCTCTCTCGCTTGCATAAGTTGCAGAAGTTATGCAGTTAAATACATAAATTTGAATGCTTTTGTAATTCATCTGCATTAGGGTAGTTTAGAAATTAAAAATTCTCAAAATGTAGGTTGGATTTATTTAATTAATTCCAGAAAATATTGATTTCTCATTCAGTGGGTTATCTTATACTGGGGTATGTTAACCTCTAGAGATGGGACTGTTTAAATGAGAGATATTTTATGATGAAAATTTTAATCTGTATTAAACATTAGTTTATCTCTTTTATTTTAATTTGCTTAAATTATGCGTTGCTTTGAATTGCCTTGAATAATAATAAAACATACATATATAATAACAGAATAAAAAGCGAAACAACTGGAAAAATCAATATCGAGAAGGGAGTAAGGCAGGGATGTGTCCTATCACCTTTGCTGTTCAATGTTTACTCTGAGAAGATATTTCAGAAAGCTTTGGAAGGCACCTCGGATGGTATAATTATAAACGGGCAATGTATAAATAGCCTGCGATATGCTGATGACACTGTCATACTGGCAGATAATGCTGAAGCCCTACAACGCTTAATGGACCGAGTAACGACAGCCTGTAGAGAATTTGGAATGAAATTGAATACAAAGAAGACAAAAACGATGGTCATCAGCAAGAACCAAAACAGAAGGGTAAAGGTCAATGTCGACGGCACATATCTGGAAAGAGTAACAAGAACAACGTACTTTGGAAGTAATCTTCATGAAACTTGGGATAAGTCACTAGAGATAAGAATACGCCTGGAAAAGGCACGTACAATGTTTTACAAAATGCAAAAAGTTCTATGCAACCGCCAGCTGGGCATCTCATTGAGAACTAGAATACTTAAGTGCTATGTTTTCTCCACCTTGCTCTATGGTGTTGAAGCCTGGACAATGACAGAAGCAACACAAAAAAGAATCCAAGCATTCGAACTCTGGTGTTACCGTAAAGTGCTCAGAATATCTTACATGAGCCATACGACAAATGCGGAAGTCTTGCGGAGGATGAATAAGGAAAGAGAGCTTATGCTTATAATAAAAGAACGGAAAACACAATATTTTGGTCACATCATAAGAAATCAAAAGTATGAACTGCTCCAACTTATAATCGAAGGCAAAGTCAATAGCAAAAGAGGACCAGGAAGAAGACGCAACTCCTGGCTTAAAAACCTACGGCAATGGACGAACATGACCTCCATAGAACTATTCAGGGCTGCTACAAATAAGATTAAATGGGCAAATGTAATGGCCAACGTCCTTAAGGATAAGGCACCGTAAGAAGAAGAATAATAAAACATTAGATTCAGAATTTAAATTTGTGTAAGTAAAGCATGAAATTACTTCATAATTTTAGATATTTTTTTCTTAAGCTTTTCATCGTCTTTTTTGTTTAAATTTTTAGTTTCATAGTAATTCTTCTTCTTCTTCTTCTCATAATGCCTATCCATTACGGATGTTGGCGACTCTCATGGCAATCTGTATTTTGCAAACTGCGGCTCTGAAGGGATTTGTGGTAGTGGTAGTTGTGTTGAACCACGTAAGGAGAAGGAAAAATTTCGCCTTCCTGGTTTTCGTGCCATCCTGGTCCTCGTTTTCTTCTACTTTACCTTGGAGAATTAATTGCAGCAACTTATACCTTTTGCTGTTCCTTATGATGTGACCTGGCTCTTGCCAGGTCTCCCTTTATAAAAATGAAAAAATTATTTTGTAATCGTGATATTAGTATTCATCTACGAACTAGAATGTTAAAATGTATTCAGTACTTTGCTTTACGATGTTGAGGCATGCACTCTTAAACAGAGGAAAGTTAAAAATCTTGAAAGCTTTGAGATGTGGTGCTACCGCCATATAGTAAAGATAAAGTGGGTGGATAAAATTACAAATGAAGAGGTAATACCTAGAATACATAACGATCCAGAAGTTATCATGAATTTAAAAAAGAGAAAACTTGAATACTTAGGCCACCTGATGAGAGGACAAAAGTACACATTCCTACAAAATATAATGCAAGGACGCAGAGCGTAGAAAAATCCAAGGGTGCAGAAATCCAGGCCGTAGAAGAATGTCCTGTATAAGAAATTTAAGAGAGTGGTTTGGCTGTACCACTAACGAATTATTCAAAACAGCAGCAAATAAAATTAGAATCGCGACAATGATATCCAATCTTCGATAGGAGAGGCACTCAAAGAAGAATAAGATGATGTGACCCAGCTATTCGATTTTGGCTGTATTTATTGTGGTTAACAACTATTTTCCTTTTTGCATTTTTAATAAACGTCGTGTTGAGTAACGTGGACGACACAGGATATCTTCAGGAATTGACGATAAAGCCACATTTCGAAGGGTCAATTGTCTTGCAGGTAGCATCTATATTTCCTGAGGGTCCGTTTAGAAAACTTACTACAATTCTGCCATCCGGACACTCAGCACTAAACCAGGCAGTGGCGTAACCGAGCTAGGAGGTTACCCAGAAACTCTCCAATAGTTGTTACCTCACCTTAGGAGATCATTATGGTTATGTAGTTGAAACCAGGCAACTATTCCAGCTCGTTTAGGGAGGGGTATGAAATAAACTCAAGAAAACAGATGATTATAAAGCGATTATATTGTTTTTTCTCCCGTCTTTGTTTAATAAATTTTTGCGGCGTAATGTGTCTGCTGCTTCGCTGGTCCATACACCATTAGGTTTGAGTGAAAAACTGTTGCTCAACAGCTGCACAACATTTTCAATTTTGTGGAAATCAGCAAATCGTTTTTTAAATTCCAAGTCAAGATTATTAATAAAACGTGAGAACTAGCCAACATCAATATCTTTATTACTATCACAAACGGATTTAAGGAGAGGAAAATGCAAATGTTTTGTCTTAATCTCCTCACAAAATAGTTCAATCTTTTTAGAAAAACCTTTAATATCCAGAAAATTTACAAACCAGTTCTCCCTTGCATTATAGTTTTAATTTCAAAATACAGATTGCCATGATTTCAAAATACAGACCAGCATTCATATGTCTAATAGACCTGAAGAAATCGTTCGATAAAGTAAAGCTTAAAGATGTAATTCACCTTCTTTACGATAGAGAAATTCCACTAGATGTTATAAAAACAATAGAGATCATTTACCAGAACAACAATATGGAAGTCAGAATAGATGACCAGCTTACAGATCCAATAGATATGGGCAATGGAATAAGACAAGGAGACTCGCTTAGTGCAACGCTATTCAATCTAATCATGGATGAAATTATCAATACTATTAATAAAGGAAGAGGATACAAAATGGGGAACAAAGAAATCAGAATACTCTGCTATGCAGATGATGCGGCCCTAATTGCATCCAATGAAGACGATCTACAAAGACTAACCCATAGATTCAACACAAGGGCAAAGGACTTTAATATGGTGATCTCTACACAGAAAACTAAAACAATTGTAATCAGTAAAGAACCAATTAGATGTAAACTGGAAATCGACGGTATCAGCATTGAGCAAGTAATGGAGACAAATTACCTAGGAATAACACTGTCTAGCTACGGAGATGTGGAGAAGGAAGTGAAAAATCAAGTACAAAAGGCTAATAAAATAGCAGGTTGTCTTAATAACACGATATGGCGCAATCCCCACATTAATACCGACGTGAAATCAAGAATCCACAAAGCAACAATAAGACCAATAATGACATACACTTCAGAGACAAGACCGGATACCTCCAAAACTCAGCAACTACTAGAAACAGCGGAGATGCGTTTACTGAGGAGAATTACAGGAGACACACTGAGGGATCGAATGAGGAGTGAAGAGATCAGAAGAAAATGCAATATACCAGAAATAAATGAGTGGACACTGAACAGAAAAAAGGAATGGAACGAACACATAAACAGAATGGAAGAGACCCGATTAGTCAGAATAGCGAGTGACAAATCACCAAAAGGTAGAAGAAGTATCGGGCGACCACGCAAAAGATGGAGTGATAACCTCCAATAGAGGCAATAATCGACATTGAACAAGCATCTTGCTTATAAAGAAGAAGAAGAAGATTGCCATGATGGTTGGCAATATCCGAAACGGATTGCCACTACAAGAGGAAGATGATTATTTTCTTCTCTAGGTACTATATTCGCTACGAAGGTTGTCTGCAATTCAGGCTATTCAAGCCACCCACTACAATGGATTGATCCAGTATATACATTATACATTGCCAAGATATTACACTTAGGGTATGGTCTAAATTAATTATATTATATACATATATACATTAAATGGATAAAAAAGACAATTAGCTAATATAATTATACGTGACATAAAATTAAAACCATAGTGGCATTTAAATCATCCGTAAAATTTCTGAGCATGTGGTTTGATCAAGACCTGTTGTAACAGGAGAACAATTAACATATAAATAAAGAATGGGAAGAACTAGAGAGATATACAAACCGGTATGAATCCCATGAGCTATATAACAAAGTCCGATATCTATCCGGGGAATTTAAACAAATTATACAAACAATAATGGATCAAAACCAACACATTATAAATGACGAGAAAGGGATTGCGGAGATATGGAGAAAATATTGTTAAAGTCTATATGCAGATGATCCCCAAAATGCAAATCACGACGAGTTCACCGCAGAGAGAGAACCAAACATTCTTAAGTTAGAGGTAGAAAAAGCAATCAAAAAGTTAAAAAATAGAAAATCTCCTGGCACAGATCAGACCACCGCAGAAGTTTGAAAAGAGACTGGAGATGTTGGAGTAAATGTTATGCATATGATCTGCAAAAAGATTTGGGAAAC